GAAGGGGGTGTACTGTTTTAGGCCCAGATTCTGACAGCCGAACGGGGCGCTCCACTTCCCTCGTTAAAATTCCCTCTAAATAATTCCAACTGGGTGGAAACTCCTGGCCAGGTAAGGTAACTCCGGGAAGTAGGTGACGAAAAGAAGACAAAACAGAATCATGGATACTGTGATAGTTTAAAAATCAATAGAAACACTTATGCTAACAATAAATGAACAAGCAAAAATAAGAGGCCGGTTGAATGATAAATGTAACTGATGAAATAATGTAAAATGATACATATCTGTACAGCAGACGTCTCCTTTCTTTGTAAGCAACAGATAGACCAATTGACCATAAGAAGCCGTCTTTTAAATCCTCTGGGCAAAAGTTGAATTCGCCAGGTTGGCTGACGTCACCGCAGTGCGAGCGGTGTCCGGAAAGGCCTCGCGTAGATAAATTTCACATCGCGACAGGGGCGAATTGAATACGAGCCGGCGTGATAAACAAAGATGACGGAACGAGTCTCTGTAGTGCGACAACACATCAAAGAACCACTATTGTCTCTCAGCTCCTTCAAATCGACCGAGCTCTTTTCGAAAATTGATTAGATATTAATTTGTATTTACTTGAAATTAAATAACAATTATCGTCCACTGTACAGCCGACAAAAAGTGACCGGCGTCCCCGTCTTGTCCATTTTACCTCTTTTAATTTGCTACTCACCATTAATTCAAAACCCACCTTAAGTTCTCTATCCTGTTGCTTAAAGTCCTCGTCTTCATCACTGTCACAGTCCGGAAACTCGTACACATGGATTTTGTTGTCTTCAATTTCTTGCATAATCTGCAATAAAAGATATTATCTGAGCACCTGCACATTGATACTCAGTTGTTTAGAATATGTTAGAAAATGTTCTCCCTGTCTTCTCCACTCCTCATCTCTCTCTCTCTCTCTCTCTCTCTCTCTCTCTCTCTCTCTCTCTCTCTCTCTCTCTCTCTCTCTCTCTTTCTCTCACTCTCTCCCCCTCTTTTTCTCCCCTCTCTCTAACTTTTTCTTTCTATCTCTCATGTTCTCTCTCTCTCTCTCTCTCTCTCTCACTCTCTCTCTCTTACACTCTCTCACTTTTACACTCTCTCACTTTCTTATTCTCCCTCTGTGTGTGTGTCTCTCTCTGTCTCTTTGCTTCTCAGTCTTTCTTCTTTTTCGACTTCCACACATACACACCGAGACACACACACATAGACAGAAAAACACACACAAACACATACACACACACACACACACACACACACACACACACACACACACACACACACACACACACATACATACACACACATAGAAATGTGCGCAATCTTCTTCGATATGCCTACC